TGATTATTTCAGCACCCCTTCAGACAAAGAAATTGTCCACCGATTCCAAAGCATTTGTTATTACAGTAACAGCACTTATTATTTACTGCCCTTATTAATGGCTTTGTTTTCATTCTTATAATTGAGCAGTCGATAAATACCATTATATAATATTATATTATACATCATCTTTCGTATGTAAAGGTGTGTGTTGATTACAACTCATTAAACTGTAAAACGCTTGTTAAATGAAATTTTACTTCATCTTTATATTTATCGGCCTCTTCTTTTATTAATTAGGAGTTATAAAAGGAAATACTAAGCCTGTTAAAACTTTAATATGTTATAATAACTTGTGCTCTGTAGAAAATAAGATTTTCTCCGTGAAGTTTACCGCAACATATAAAGTTATGATTAACTTTGCTAAACAAACATTGAAGTCAATCTGTTCAAACTAAAATTCAACAATATCTCGTGCTTTGTTGAAATAAAATTATTTCTGCAGGGATTAAGACGACCTATAATGTCAAGATTGCCGTTAGCTAAAAAGAAAAAAAAATAATGCAATAAATTCTCATGCTTTGTTGAATAAAATCATTTACACACAAAGATTACCACAATGTTTAAGTTCAAGATTGTTGTTGATGGCTTAAAAAAAAATATTTAGCCTGTTATAAATTTAATGGAAGTGTTAGAATCTCTTGTGCTTTGTTGAAATAAAATTATACCACAATTTTTTAAGTCCACATTGCCGTTAGCTTTGAAAAAAAATAAGTATAATGCAAAAATATTTTGGCTTTTAAAATTTAATTTTTTTTTCTGCGAAGAATACCGCCATGCATAAAAATGAGGACTACCGTAAGCTAAAAAAAAAAAATTCACGTATGAAAAATTCTCGTGCTTAAATTCAATACATTATTTCCACAAAGATTTTAAGTAAAAACTACCACGATGTGAAAAAGACATGATAACCGCTTGGTCAATTTTTGGACTGCGTATTATATAACCAAACAGCATTTTTTCCCCAAATTTAAGGCCCCAAAAGGGGATGTGTATTTTACACCAATGCATACTATATTCGGCAAATACGGTAAAGAAGAAAGATGCATCTACAGTCTACTTGTGTAAAAAGTCTAGTCAGACCAAAACTGCAGGAGGAGTAAAGTTTTAAAAGAATTCGAAGAAATGTCTATTTTAAGTAGCAATGGCAAAACTATTTGTCGAAATCAGAAATCAATATAAGAATTATGTATCTTAGTATATAAGTGTACTTGTGTATGAAGTTTTATTGTTTGTTTGTTTTGTTTATTTTTTAACGTCCCTCTCGAGAATTTTTCACTCATATGGAGATGCCACCTCTTGCCGGTGGAAAGCTGCAAATTTTGACCTATGCTCAGCACTTAGGGCCATTGAGCAGTGAGAGATCTTTTTCGTGCCTGCACCTACTGCGACAGGGACCTCAGTTTATACTGTCTCATCCGAAGGACCGGTCTCCAAGTCCCACAGTGGGATTCGAACCCACGAGGTAAGGATCTACTATGCGACTCTAGAGCGTACGCTCTAACCACTGCACCATGCGGGCGACCCAAGTATTATTGGAACTGGAGCAAACTGTAGGAGGAATAGTGTTTTGAAAGAATTTCAAAGAAATTTCTATTCTTAGTAACCGAAGCAATACCATTTATCAAAATCAAAAACCAATAAATGGAATTATGTTTCTTAGTATAGTCTACATGCGTACCAAGTCTTACTGAAACTGGATCAAAACTGTTGGAGGAGACATTTTGTAAAATTTCAAAAAAAAAAAAAAATATTTTTAGTAATCATGGCAACACAATTTCAATCTATAGTATTTTTTTGTGTCTTAGTATATCCTACTTACGTACCATGGACTAAAACTGTAGGAGTAGCATTTTGAAAGAATTTCAAAGAAATTTTTATTTTATGTAACAACGGAAACATCACTTGTCAAAATCAAAAACCAATGAATAGAATTATGTATCTTAGTATAGTCTACTTGTATACCAAGTGTTATTGAAATTTAGACCAAACTGTAGGAGAAGTAGCGTTTTGTAAAATTTCAAAGAAATTTCAGTTTTAAGTAAACATAGCAACACTGTTTGTTGAAATCAAAAATCAATATATAGAATTATGTTTCAAAGTTTACTCTTCTTGTGTACCAGGTCTAATTGAAATTGGACCAAAACTGTAAGAGGAATAGCATTTTGAAAGAAATTTCTATTTTTATTTACTATGGCAACACTGCTTGTCAAAATCAAAAACCAATAAATAGAATTATAGTATAATCTACTTCTGTATTAATTCCTAGTGATAATGGGCCAAACCTGTAGCAGGAGTACAGTTTTAAAAGAATTTCAAAGAAATATCTATTTTTAGTTACCATGGCAACACTGTTTGTTGAAATCAAAAACTGATACATAGAATTATGTATCTTAGTATAGTTTATTTATGTACCAAGACTTAATAAAATTGAGCCAAAACTGTACGAAGAATAGGGTTTTGAAAAACTGTTTACAGATTGACAGATGACGGACACCTTACTAATAATGCATAAGCCCTTCTGGTCTTTGACCAGTAGAGCTAAAAATGAAGTAAGTAGAAATAAATATGCAAAACTGTGGTAAGTTTTATATATTTTTATTTTTATTTGTAAATTTGTTAGGCAGCTGCTATAGTCACCTATTTCACCTTCATTAACTTTTTTAGTGTAACCAGCTACATGTCTGTTCGTAACTGGACTGACTGTCACCAACAATGCATGTGCGTTAAAACAGCTTGGCATCAAAGTTAAATCATAGTTAAATTTGGTCGATGTAATATAGAGTAAGCAAGGTCATAGCCAAGTCAACATTACGTTCACAATACTTCTTATGCATCATGCTAGTTTTTTAATTTATTTACTTGTATTGAAAAAGAATTAAATATTCAATTGTTTTAAATTATATATGAAATTGACACCCTTTCTTAAATTTAAGTTAAGTTACATTAGATTTCGTGTTAAAATTATAATTCTGTTTTGAAAAAAAAAAGATTCATAATATTTTATAACAAATATTGCACATTCACAAAGTGGGAAGGGTTCAATGCAAATAAGTTTTGCGTATAACTCGAGACTGTGATGTTTTCAGTTTATCTTAATTTGTTTTTTTTTGACAAATGTTCATTCGCTTTGTCAGCTTAGCAGACATAGCATGATAACCAAACGTCTATTTAATTGAAATAGAAATGCCAATACAAAAAATAACAATACAATAGGGACATTTTTAATTCTTTTTCCCCCAATGTGTAAGCCTATATCAGCAAGCAAAGACTGTAGATGTTTTATGATATATACAATTTAATCAAGGATTGAAAAGAATTGTTTTCAGAAGATAATTTTTCCTATTCTCCAGTTTACCAAGTTCTCTCTCTCCCCTCTCTCTCGGACGATAGTGAGCCCGTCTGAATCCCCGCTTGTCACGTTCTACATTTAATTTAATTAACAGACACTCTTTCTTAGCTTTCTAATCATCATCTTTTAACTCTCAGACAATTTTTCTGTCTCTTAAAGTCTATTTAATCTCATATTTTCATAGTGAACATAAAAATCTATGATTACTGTGTACAATTTATTTACAATGAGTAGTGTTTGTAACCTAGGCCCCACTAGTATTTCAAAAGTATCCCAAAAATGAAATTTTGCATTTATCTACATCCCCCCCCCCCCCCCCCACTACGAAAAACTATACAATTTGTTTACCAGTATTAAATAGAGATAATCATTTTCTTTAATGCATAATACGAATAGAGGAATTAAAACGTTGAGATTCAACATTTATTAGTTCTAAATATGTGTATAAGGTTGTTAAGACACACTTAAGTTACCTCTATGGGCACCTAAGTTTTGCTAAGACTGTCAAATCTTAGCACGCTTCTAGTTAACTGTCAAATCTTAGCACGCTTCTAGTTAACTGTCAAATCTTAGCACGATTCTAGTTAACTGTCAATCTTAGCACGCTTCTAGTTAACTGTCAAATCTTAGCACGCTTCTAGTTAACTGTCAAATCTTAGCATGCTTCTAGTTAACTGTCAAATCTTAGCACGCTTCTAGTTAACTGTCAAATCTTATCATGCTTCTAGTTAACTGTCAAATCTTAGCACACTTCTAGTTAACTATCAAATCTTAGCATGCTTCTATAATTATGGTCTTAAGTTTAAGACTGTACTTAAGTCCTTCTTAAGCATGGTCTTAGACTTAAGTACCCTTTTGTTATGACCCCTGGTTTAATAAAACATAATTATAGATTTCTCCCTCAAAGTTCAATTTTTGGGGCAAATATTGGTCATTACTGAATATAGTCCTTTCCATATGTGACCTTGTATCTATTTATTTAGCAATAATTTATTTACACATTAAGATTAACAGTGTTGTTGATTTTCTAGTGCTATATCATATATATATATTTACATTTCCAAATATTTTCCTTAAGATTCTTTGCAAATTAGAATACTGTTAATTTTCTCATGAACTACCATGGATGAGCATGAATATCTCCATTGTTACGTCATAATACTGTACTTGACGTCAAAACTATAGTGCAAACTGTTTTGCTTTAAAAATGACAGTTAAATTGTGGCAACTCATCAGAAAAATAATGTAAATAAAAGAAATGAATTTAATTTTTGAAAATTCATGAGGTACATAAACTACAATGCTTCACGCCAGCATATTTATCATGAAGCGCTAAAGCGCTTCATGAAATATGCTGGCGTGAAGCGTTGCAGTTCATTTTCTCATGAATCTTCAAAAATTAAATTCATTTCTTAAATTTCCCCCAGAGAATTTTAGCTTATGCACAACAGACAAAAGAAAAAATCAGAATTTTTTCCCCTCCAATTTTATATCAGCTTTGGTGAGAAATCTGACGGTGAGAACAACTACGAGTAATACCAAAAATGACCTATAATGTTCAAAGAGAAAAAAAAACTATACACTAAGAAGAGAAAACTCTGGTGTGTACCTGAACCGTTTGCCAGCCTCTGCCTCCCCACCAATCACATGAGGACATATCTGTTTGGTGAAAAGCCACTCTGATTCTAAAACATTCTTCAAACTAAGTGAGGCTTCTGGAAGACTCTGCAGCGCTAACATCCAGCTTTGTAAATATGTGAAGTATACCTTATAAAAGTAAACAAAGTGCATAATTAATAAAGGATATAATCATACAAAGAATGATTATAATTAAAAAACAGAAAGCAAATAGAATATAGAGCATTAGGCCTAAGGAATTCAAAGTAGAGGCATTTGCAAAATTAAATTTAACTATCAGAAGTGTGAAGAAGCTTACAATATGATATCCCTACTGCCACAAATCAATCTTCTTTCTTACCAAGATACAAACAAGATAGACATTTGAATTTTTTCTGCTTTCTGCCAGAGACCTGAACCTTGGTCACAGTCAAGCACATTTTCAGATGATAGTCCAGAACTATTAACCGAGTTATAATGTCAATACAACAAGAGGCCCATGGGTCACCTGAGCATAATGGCTAGGAAAAAGAACAAATCATGCTTCTAGTTAACTGTCAAATCTTAGCACACTTCTAGTTAACTATCAAATCTTAGCATGCTTCTATAATTATGGTCTTAAGTTTCAGTATTGAAAAGTTTACATCAGGAAGGGGTTGGGGTTGGGGGGGGGGGGGGGGGGGGGGGGGTTTGAAATTTAAACTGCCTGAGGATGCATCCATATCAATATAACAAATGGCTTTGCTATTCTTGAGCAGAAGATTTTTGAAGATTTTTAAGGTCTTCCGTTTCCAACGGAAGACCTTCTACTGATTGTGATGATTAAGATTATTCTTTTTTTTTTTTCCTAGACGCCAACTTTGACGCTTCATATCTTCCTCATTTTTAAACAGATTTTGTTCAAATTTTCAGAGCTTTTAGACTTTACAAAACACTGTCAGAATACCGTAATACAATCCGGAAATTACCTTTTGTTCACGAGTTATTCCCCTTTGATTGAATTTTGCATGCCTCCGATTTCCAGACAAAGGCTCAGAAATGGTTATAATTGGAGCACAAAACCCTTTGAAATTGAAAAGAGGAAGCATTGAAGTTGTGCACATCGGTTTTTGTTTTTTGATTTTTGCATTAAAAATGGCAAGGGCTTTCATATTATACTATTTAAAAGGGGCTGGCCCCTATGATTAGGGATCTTGGGCCCTTAAAAGTTTTTGCTTTATAACTCAAAAACGGTAAATATTTCGATCTGGATCTTGGGAACAAAATTGTTCTTTTACACCTTTTTGATCTAATGAAAATGTTGTTTTGTTTGAGTATACCATGGGTATTGCGTAATACGTATTAGAAAGCTGGCCAGGTAAACAGGTAACGTTTTTCATTCGGCAAGGAAATCAGACCTCTTCATGTGTATAACTTAAACAGACTTGCTATCAATAATATACCCTGCGGTATTTAATGTTAATTTTCTTTTTAATAAGGTTTAAAACGTGGTTTATGGTTCACTATTAAATTATTTATTACAACTAGTCTTTCTTTTCTTCTTTTTTAAATTAGATTAATAGTGTTCAAAAGCGGAGAATATTAAATCTATCTTTCTATGTTTATTATTACAACAAACTTTGTAAGTGATTTTAAACTGTATGCATTGAATAATTCACGATCATTAGCTGTATGCATATTACGGTCTCCATGTTCAGCTCGATGTTTAGTTATGTAACCCAACGCACGAATCCCATGCCTTTGATCGAGGTCACCAGTGTACTAGCCACCTGTGGCCATAAACAAAGCTAGTATTTGTGATCGCGTATAATGTCAATTTTGTACAAAGAGCTATTAATTAATGGAAAGTTATGTTTTTAATTATATCGAATCAGTAAGATTACTTTACCGATCTTTTATAATCTTAATTCCAAACAATGGTGCATAAAAATCATTTTGAATTTTAATCGCTGTTTTTGTCTGTTCACGCAACAATACATTTACATCAAAATATTTCGAAAAAGCTGCCGTAATTAAAGTTGTTAGTTAACATCTTACTGATCTCAAGAAAACGTTATTTTGTTTGAGTCTTGTGTTCTAAATGAGCTAGAAGCATAACACATATACAGGTAAGCGTTTTCATTCAGCAAGTAAACAAGAGCTCTTCATGCGTGTAATTAAAATAAACTTACTATAAATAATAAACCTAGCTACATTAGATGCAATATTCTTTAGAATCGGGTTCTTGAAGTGTTCTGAGCTTTATTTCTAAATTATTTACTGACAACTTTCCCTTTTATTTCGTTTGTTTTCAAATTTGGATAAACCAGTCTACTTAACAGGGAAAAAGGATAACCTTTTCTTCTTATCATATAAAAACAAACAATAAAGTTAGAAAATAAAACAAAACTTTAAACATAGACCATTCACAGCCATTAAGTACACACCTTTTACATTCACCTTGTGTGTTTACAATTATGTAACCCCTCCCTCGATAGCACGTGGCAAAGGAGGTCACCGGGGATCATTCGGCGTGTGATCCAGCGACCTAAGGTCATACACAAAACAAACCATAGAATGGCCTTTCCAAATACATTTTGTAAACTAAGTGATGAATGGATAAATATGTTGAATCTTTCAGATTATTTTATAATGTCTTTGATTAAGTCGCTAGTACATTTCAATTTATATTTTATTCGCTGAATTACAAGAAAGTTGCATATTAATTTTATTTTTATAAACATTGTATTTCTCGATATCGAGATAATTGCGCTTTGTGAAAAATTACTTTAAAATCATTCAGAATCTTTCATATTATTTCATCTTACTGTTTATCACTCGCTCATTTTAATCAACTAGTCTTAACTGACTTCAAATTCAATGCATTTTGAATGCCAAAAAGACCACTTTGTTTGCGTATTAAAGAAACAGTTTATTTATCTCTCTAATGTTATTATTTAACGAGTTGCTATTTCTTTCATGAACATTAAACAGCATGTATATAATTATCATGATAATTGTACGTAGAGGTCACATTTTTAATTGTCAGGAAAATCGAAAATAAAATTAACTACTTTTGAGTTTGTATTATTTTCTTCCTAACTTACAATATTATTGCATACAAAATACTAGGTCGGACGCAAGTAACCTAAATATTTCACTTGTATTTGAAAATTCTATCGAGCGTCGAATGAATTTTACCCGTTAAAAAGTGTACAAAAAACCTTCCTATGCTTTGGGAATCAATTGGCTTAGATAGTCTACTCCGACATGTGTTGACAAAACTCACGCAATGAGAAGCCATACATTTCAAACTTGTGACCTCTTGGTCAGTGCATGTGAAGATTACGCACGACAATTAGTGTCTGGAAAACGAAGTATGTTTTATAAATGATTTGACAGGTTAAGATTTGTTCTCATTCCAAATTAAATACAAGTTTACACAATCCCGTTATTTCTTTGTTATTTTATACCGTCAGTTATATTAGAGATTGTTTTAAAAACGTGTTGTTTAGGAAGATTAACCTTATGCATTTGTTTTATTTCATCTAATAAACTGAATTTTCCCATGATACGAATTATTGGTACATGCATGTAAGTACGCGTAAATGCGGTCTTATTTGTTTATGTGGAAGAGCGCCCAAAATAAATACACTTCGAACTCTGGAATTTCCCTATTTTACCGTTTAAATCATAGGTCCGCTCAGCTGACGAGTTGTTTTAATAATGGTTATAAATTATATTCAAGTCCTGGCCAGCGATCGTTTCGCTTGGTTACATTGCAATTAAACAGGTATCTACTAATAAGATATTAAGATACTATCGGTATATATATTGTCACCTAATATGTTTTCATTGAGTGTTTTCATAAAAATAAATTGCTGGAGAATATCATGTTCTCCCTGATCATATCGATAGCGCGTAGAAACAGCGGTATATGAACACACGCTTTTGTGTACAAAGCAAACGTGTAAATCAAAAGGATGGGGAAAAACGATGAAATAAAAACATTTCTCTATCAACTGAAATTATTGTCTTTAGACAGATAAAAATAAATGAATATTCGCCTGAGAACATGTGAAAATTATACCCAAATACAATGTAACGAAGGATTTTCGGTTTAATCCGAGTACACAATAACAATGTTGTGTACATGTACATGCAGAATACCTCTTTTTTATCCATGTGTTTCTCCTTAACGGAAAAAATTATCAGTAAATTATATTATACCGAACGAGGTTGAAAAATGACGAACTTTATTTCTTAAAATTAACAGCAATTATCAGACTTTTCTCATATCACTGTAAAAATGCCCTAAAAACTAAAACCGTCTGGTTTGGCTTTGTCAACGCGTTTTAGATCGGGTTTGAGATTTTTATTAAATATCTGGAGTATTTCGCTTATTCTGCAAGTCTTTATAACAAGATTAGCTTTTTAAAAAAAAGCTGAGAGTCAGCCACTGGAATACAGAAAGTTTCTTTCTTGGTTTGTGATGGTATATGATTTGTTTTATCCATCATGTTGTGTTCATTAAAAGTCATTCGTCTAAGTTAAAATTCGCCCAGTCGTTTTCTTATTTGTAACATAATTCTGTACATAATAAATAATAAAGCATAGAATAAATTTTAGTTAAACTACATCGAGATCATTATGATGACTCCAATTAATTTCTCTTGGGCGCGGACATCAGATAAAGTTCGTCTCAGAAATGAACAAAGCCACTATGATCCCAATCATTGAACGTGTAAGAATGTATACATTTTCATTTTTACTGTTAAATTCTATAAATAATATAGATTATGATGCTGAAAAGGAAGGTAGACCTTGGGTTAGATTGTGTTAATTATTATTAGATAAAAGTTTCTTAATCGTGCAGGTTCAAGGCAATGCATGATAGGGGAAGGGGGGAGGGTGCATACTGTATGTATATTTAATTCAATTTCTAAATTTAAGCATCCATTTTAGTGTTATTAGGAAAGAAAAAAATTGCTTCCAAAATAAAGTAATAAACTGGAGGTTCAAAATATTTTATACATACAGTACGTATACCCTAAAATGATACTGGATTCCATCTCGCTCACTCTCTCTAATTGGGGGGGGGGGGGGGGGCTGTCTATAAATCCGCGCAGTTTCTCTCAACTATCGCAGTTCTACTGTGGTCAGTTTCTCAC